CCGCCCGCCAGACCCCCTGACAAAAACGGCCCCAAAACCGGGGGTAAAAAACACCAACATCCCCCCCCTTCCCCTTTACCCCACAGGGGGGGGGTGTTTTTTCCCACCCCGTTTGGGGGGTTTTTTCCCCGGTCACACCCCAAAAGGCAAATTGTGCCCCCAATTAATTGGATTGCGCACCCCCTGGACCCCCCCCCCCCCCCCCCGCGCGCGCTCTCTCTTTAATTTCCAAGCTCGACGACGACTACATGGGGTACTACGGGGGCGGCTACGACTACGGCGTTGGCTACGGCGGAGATTTCGGAGACGCATACGAAGACGACGCGCGAATCGGCGGAGCCCCCGGCGGGGGCGGCGGGGGCGACCCCGACCCACGTACCGAAGGCGGACTCGCACGCTGGGGGAGAAGGAGGCGGTGACAACGAGGGGAATGGAGAGGGCGGAAGCACGAAGGTCGGGCTGGACGCGAGCGACGGGGGGGGGCACCGTGAGGCCGCGGCGGGGGGGGGTAAGGAGGAGGAGTCGGAGCAGCCGGAGGCGGCGGAGCCGAAGAAGAAGACTGCGCCGTTTAAGGTGTGAGCACTGTCGCGGGGTGTGATCTATTTTATGTGTGTTTGTTCGTGCCATTTATGCTGGGTCCGGTTTTGGATGAGCTCCCCCGTTGCACGAAAAATTCCTTTGGAGACTTGGAAAGAGGGATCCGGACCCAGCTGTGCCACAAGACCCCCCCCTTTTGCTCATGTAAGTTTAACGATGGATCTGTCTTGAGGCAAGCAAAGAAACTCGTGCCCCTGCCCCCTCTTCCCCGCCCATGTTTTTTTTTTTTTTTCTGCAGGCTCCGCGCGAGTTCAAAACCTTGAAGTTCGAGACACCGGAGGCAGTGGAGGGGAGGAAGGAGGTGAAAAACCTCAGCGATGATTTGAAAGTCCAAGAGAAAAAGCTCAAGGTATGGCCAGGAGGAAAAGTACACAAACTGCCATAAAACTTGATTCACAGCCAAACGTGGAAGAGGTTGTTGCTCAAGACGAGGGGCTGAAATTTGTTTGTATGACTGGCTGGAGAAACGCTGTTATTACGAGAGGAGATGGATATAGGCTGCGGCAGTGGGTCGGGGGGATAAACAGCGTGCGTGTCTTGTTTGGTGTGCAACCTCGGCGTAGCGATGAGGGCTGCTGCAGTTTGGTGTCTGGAACAATTAGCGCGTGGCTTTCGTTTCGTGGGCTGCCCGCTACGGGCTGCTGCAGTTTGGTGTCTGGAACAAATAGCGCGTGGCTTTCGTTTCGTGGGCTGCCCGCTACGGGCTGCTGCGGTGCGGTGCGGAGTACATGTTGTGCGAGTCTTGTTTCGGGTGGTTGCTACTCCGCTTCTGCGGGGCATTTCGGAGCACGATTCCGCGGCGGATCGTGTTGCAAAGGCTGTGGCTTTCGGTGACGATACATCCAAGCCAAGTGCAGCCCTGCATCGTCGGGCTAAAGTACATGTAGAATTTGTTTTTTCTACCCGGGAGTATACGCGTGCGAAACCCCCGGTGTGTCAGCAAACGGAATGTACCACATTTGTTCGCAAGTTTGTTCACCCCCATTTGATGCTCTTTGCGTTAAGCGGCATGCATCTACAGCAGTAGTGGCGTTTGTTCACCGCGGTTGTTTTCCTGCCTTTCCTTTTCTGCGTCTGTTTTCTTTTTTTCGTAAGACGCTGGAGCAAGAGGAGTCGGAGGACTACGGCGAGGACGGCGCGCTGTGGCCCCTCAAGGACAGATGCATCACCGCCAAGACAGGGGGTTATGAGTATCGAGTGTGCGCCTTCAAGGATGCCCACCAGGAGGAGGGAAAGTCCAAGGTATGTGTCTGGCAGTTTGGTGGTGGTGGTTTTCCGTCCCATCATGTTTGTGTGGCGATTTTACGGTGGTTTTTTCCTGTTCCGTCCAATCTTGTTGGTGGCGGTGGATGCTGGTTTTGACTATTTTCTGTCTGATCGTGCTTGTGGCGGTTATACGACTATTTTGTTTCCTTTTCCGTCCGATCGTGTTGTGTCCAAGGAGCAGCAGCATACGTTTGTGGCGGTTGGTGCTTTTTTTTTTGTTATTTTCCTTGCCATCGTGTTGTGTACAAGGAGCAGCAGCATTTCCGGTGCTTGTGGCGGTCGATTCGGCGTGCCCCCACCCAACCGCCATCTGTCGTTCCTCCGCCGGAACGTTACCGTCAAAACATTTTCAGACGCTGATAGGGAAGTGGAAGGGGATCGAGAGAGCCAAGGCGGACGACATGCGGCAGCTGCAACAGCAGCACCAGCAGTTGGTCCTGAGCGGCGACGTGCTCGTCTTCGACCGGGGGCAAAAGTGCTGGAACGGGCCCGCCCGCAGCCTGCGGGTAGCGCTGGCCTGCGGTACGGAGGACTCCCTCTCCGCGGTGACGGAGCCGGAGACTTGCACGTACGAGGCGGTGTTGGAAACCCCGGGGGCGTGTTCCTCCGCCCAGAGGGACGCCTTGATTGCTAGCGTAGCAGGGGGGGCGGGGGAGGACCTTAGAAGTTCTGATGGTGGGGGGGTCAGGGATGAGTTATAGTAGCCGGGGGGGGGGGGG